TTAAATCATTTACAAGTGGGGCATAACAACCAACACTTACATTAATTTCTTTATCTTTGTATCGTATCAATCGATCAGCCTCACCTGTTCTTAACCTTCCAGTAGTCCTGTCCTTCTAGAGAGCCGTATCCAACAACGAGGACACCATGATCCAGGCTTTGAGGGTCACACTCAGGCTCGTAGTACACACCTGGAAAAATGGGGAACGAAATTATTTGTGAGACAGCGTGGTGAATTAAAGCGCTTGTCAAAATAGCATAAGCAAGGAAATCGGTATCTTTCTGGCCGTTGGACTATTTTTTATAAATGTTTTTTTTGTTCAATACTTTCTATCGCTTGTCGGATTTCAGACGATTGCCGGCAAACATGCAGGTCTAAAAAACACATTGTGAGGATTTTTACAGAAAAATATGTTTCAAAGACACAGAATAAGAAATTTGAACTTTCCAGTGACAATTTTTCATCGTCACATCTAAAAAAAAAACGAGCATAAATCTACAATCTCCTACAACTGACCTCCGGAATACATCTGGAAGCTTCCGTGAGAGGCGTCGATGGCCACAGAGATGGGTCCCACATTGGCAGTAGCGTCCTGGAGATCTGACTCACTGGCCTCTTGGATGTCGTCACAGCCGGTCACTCTGACCTTAGCCAGGCCGGGGTTGTAAGCGCACATATCGTCCTGAGAAAACCAAGACAAAGGTGGACGTTTGTCAATGGGATTGTTAACAAAAAAGTTTAGGTCTACAAAGATTGTTACTTTTTTTTTACTTTTAGTGCCACGGTACAGTGACGGCAAAAGTTAGAAACGAGAGTAAAATATAGAGAGGAGAAAGAGAGATAAAAAAAAGACAAAAGAGGCAAAACAAGAAAGTGGATGATTGTTAAAACTCAGATTGGACGACCAAAAGAAAAAACGCGTTACAAAATTATGTCGGAAAAACTATTTTAAAAAAGTATTCAAAAATATTTAGAAAAAAAAAGATAAAATACTTTTTTTTAAAAATTCAGTTCTTTGAAGTCCTAAAATGCCCGAATTCGGTACAATCTGAGGATATTCCGGGTATATATCAAGCTACAGAGACTAAATGTGAGTTTCGAAAAGATATGGTCAACGACTGATTATCATGTGAACTAGGAGTAAAGCTTACCGTGGCGGTGTAGGGGTAGTCAGCCTCAGATTCCAGTCCGTTGGTTGAGTTGACGAATCTGAAAGCACTGTCCATGAGTCCTCCTTCACAGCCTGAACAATCGCTCAGCTGACAGCAGTCCACGATCTGTTGCTCGCTCAGACTGATCAGTTTTCCGGATTTCAGGAAATTCTGGCCCTCGATAGAGCCGGTCTGTGAGAGTTAAAATGGGAATTATTTTGTTTTTGTTTAATTTATATAATTTTTCGTTATTTATATCTATAAATCTATTAAAAATGTACAGATGATTGTGTATATTAAAGTGG